TAGGATCAAATAATAAATCATAAAACTGCAATAGGTGAAAATAAATTTTTCCATAGAATAAAACCACTTTAGTAGAAGAAAAAAAAAACCGCTTGAAAAGGTGAAAGGTATAGCTAAAAAAAAATGAAAATATTATTTTTTAATTAACATACGTCATATAATAATTAATTAGTTTATTTAAAATTATGATATAATTTAAAATAAATACAAGTCGGTCTACAAGTTTATGGACAAACCTTTTAAAAAAGAAATTTGGGATTAGACTTTTAATTAGGTTTATTTTTATGTTTAAGCCAGTTATGTTCTCCTAACATTTCAGGTGCTTAGCGCAAGTTATAACACACTGAAAACTTTTACTAAATACTTCCCTTATGTAGCATTAGAACTCCGAAAAGAAAAGATTCATTATTACAAAGTTACATTTATCATCGATGCACGAGCGACGAAACTCGAATTTGTGTCTTGGTACAAGTTTTCGCTAACGATCTCAAAACCATTTATTCTTTTTAATATGTTGGTGCATTGTGTTTAATCTATGTTTCTTGTTTTGCATTTTCAAAATATTAATTTTGTGATCTGTCACTATAATTTTTTGAGAATTATATTGTTGTATATTTGAAACTTAAAACTTTCATTGCTGCCAATTGTTATAACAAGTTCGAAACTTGGTTATTGTTGATTACTACTGCAGTTTCGGGATTGTGTTGTCATCAATTGATCTTTACAGTTTCGAATTCTGTATTTATTTAAAACTGTTTTACATACGGGAAAAACATCTATCATTTTAAAGAATATAAGTTTATATCCTTTTAAATCATAACCGTTGATTTTCATCCATCAACGGTTATAATCTATTGGGCCAAACTTAATAGGTCAAATTTATTATTAATTAATTAATAATTTTAATCCAATAAATTATAACCGTTGTTGGACAGAAATCAATGATTAAGATCTAAAAGAATATAAGTTTATATCTTTTAAAAGGATAGATGTTATTCCCTTCACATAAATATGAGAACTCCTGCTTTTAGTTTTTCTGGGCCTAAAACAATAGTGAGTTAGTCGTCAATTAAGAAAAGCTTACATGTTATTTTTTATTCTTTGGCAAACAGACTGTTAAATGAAAGTTACAGGAAAGAACAGGTTGATACAGGCCCAATATCTCACCAGAATCTGAACAAAAAGTAAAAGTTAGAACGGGCTTGATTATCATGATTGTTGTTGGCCCATGTAAATAACAGTTACCCACATTTTGCTACTTTCCCCCCATTAAAATGGCATTAGGCATGAGGCCCCACGTCCACAAGCCAGAGAGAAAGCAAGGCCGAACTCGACATGAGTGATGTACCTTTAATTTTCTGTTTGAAACCCCAAATCTTCTTTTTCATAACCTTTTTATTTGTCTAATAGTGCTATGGAAACTCCTTTAGTGGACCGATCGGACTATTTTGCAACTGGCAACAACTCCTTGAATAAAAAGGTTATCAAAGACTTTCATTCCAAATAGCTACAAATACCTTTCCTTGCAACTAGCCTGTGAAATTCGTTTCAGACCTAAACCCTATCTGACACTCCATTCCTATACTGAGTCTACATGTGCAAACATTTATCACTTTCGATGCCCTCCAAAAAACATCAAAAGGCAACAAATCAAATATACATAAGAATACGGAAAGAAACGTGTGTTATTTTAAAGGATGTAAAGTTGTGTCATTTTAAGAGAGAGGAAGAGATAGAAAAAGAGGAGAGAGTTGACAAAAAAAGTAAAAGTGTGGGTCTCACCTCTTGTGAGAGTAAAAAGATATAAATTATGTAATTTAAAAGGATAAACACTTTTTCCTAAGAATATTTCACTAAAATAAATAAATAAATCAGAATATAGACTAGTTAAACTCTATACTAAGTGTGTGTTTTTTTCATTCTACATTAGTTTTTTTTTATCAGTATTTTGGGTCGTATGACACGAAATTTTATTGTTGCACGACAAAGATATCCCATCTTTCCATTATTTTATTTTACATTCTCATTAGCTTTAACTATCTTTATTCCTCTAGAGACATAAAAATAGACCTTTATTAACTTGCTTTCTCAGTTGTCTCAGTTTTTTTTAGGACTTTATTGGGTGTTTATTTTTTTTTCTTAATCATTACACCCATCAACCATTTAATTAGTTGTAGATTGTTTTTACTAAAATTTTATCTGTTTCTTATAAAATTAACATTAAATAAATACTTAACATTAACTTAAGTACAAAAAATATCATAGTGTAATTTCCTTTTTTTAATACTCCACATGAATATATAGAAATATGAAATTATGAATATTGCCATATTTAATAATCAACGCACGTCCTTGAAAAGAAAAAAGAAAAAAAAAAAAAAACAACTCTAGAGTCAAGGAAAGCTATACAGTAGGCCTGTGAAAATACATAGTCAAACTTTAAGGGCACTTTACCCGTATAGGGATGTAGGACGATGGGACAAGAAAAAGAACACTCAACTCAAAAAACAAAGCAAGAGTCATGAACTTCCGGGCAAAGGCGCATATATTGTTGAATATTTATCTACCGGTCAAGACATAAGGCAATCTCATTCACTGTGCTCTGCTCGTGTTCTTGTCTTGAAGAAACAAAATGTACCCCAGAAGAAGCAAAAGGTAAGAAATAAAAAGAACCGAGAATGGAGTGGAGAAAAAGAAGAGAATGTGGAATCCCAAGAGTGCTGTGAAAACGCTATTCAGATGATCACTACTTAAAGTGGGAAAAGGCAAAGGTTTCTTGGTGTCATCAGAGCTATAGAAGAAGCCTTGATAGAAACATTTCAAATAACATTTTTATTCTGTTTTCCTCACGTTTCGCTTTCATCGAGTAATTCACATCTTCTTCTTTTTTCCTTAAAAGTCTTCAACACTATATTGAATATAAACGCTTTTATTGAATATTTCGTATCCCCGTTCTTTTCTTAAAAATCTTCAACGCTATTTTGAATATGCCAATAATCTTACATCCCTTTCTGGTGAGGACCACCCACACATCGATACAGTTGCCCCTCATCTAATTAAGAATTTTTGACTTGAAATAATGAATGGACTTATTTTTTCTATTGTTTTAATTAAAAAAATAAAGCAGCAAAGTTCAAACTCTTCGTCACTTAACAAAAAGACTTTGATATTCCTATTAAGCATAAAATTTTGATACTATACTAAGAATTAAGTCTCTTACGGGGCGTTTGGTACGCAGGATTTCGAGGGATTTACAGGAAATTGAATTTTTTTAAATTTTAAATTTTCAGATATTATCATAAACTGAATGCAAAAATCATATTTTTGAAAATCGAGATTTCCGGACAAATAAAAATTTCTCCTGTACCAAACGCCCCCCGAAAAATTTAAAGATGCATACATATATATATATAGGCAAAATGATTTCTGCAGCTGTTGTACCTACAGCAAGCAAGGATACACGTCCGAATCCTAGGATACGGCAACGGATCCTGAGTTTTTTTTTTTTTTTTTTAAAGCTGTGGGACCCACTTTTCTGTGTCAGCTGTAGATAACACTATCTACGACTGCTGCACAAATGTTAATCACGTATATATGACCGAGAGCCTTTTGAGCTTTCATTAGCCACACTTTATCATCCAGTTTACTTTTTCAACGGCATCACAAAATTCTGAGTGTTAACAATATTTTCGCTTTCAATCCCAACAAAGCAGTCTGGTAAATGCTTGTAAATGATTTTTATCAATTTTTTTATTATCAAAAGGTTAAGTTGAAAAGTCAAATCTCTGAAGCCGGTTACACTTACATTTTTTTCCTAAAATAATGATTTTAACAACATTCAAATATATATTTATATTATCATAAAACTTCATAAGTCACTTACCACTTTTTGCCTCATCATTTAAGTAATTGTAAATTATTTCAAGTCTAACAATTTAGTTCTTATTTTTGAATAAATCATGTATATTTTTTTATGAGAAATAATCTTATTCGAGTTGAGAATATTCAGATTAACTCTCTTAAAAAATTTTACATTCACAAACATTTTACCAAAAAAAATAAAAAAAACTGAATCAAACATATATCAATTGAACAAATTTTTATAACAATTTCGTTCTTATGAGCAAATATGGGGTTTCCTTTTCTGTCATACTGACAATTCATAAAAGGAGAAGTAGAATTATAACCTCCGCTACACGAAGCATACTTCCCCATAAAATCATAGCACTAATCTCTCTCCCGCCACAAAAAAATATTTAGTAAGTAATATTAATTATTAATTAATTACTAGCTAATATAATTGATAGTGACAAATAATCATAACAACCATAAATCCTACTGCCAACGGGATTTTCTATGAAATGAATATTCAATTTCTGTCATTTTACTGTTAGCAACTTTATAGTAATGAATCTTTTAAACATCACCTCGTGATTTGATCATAGGCTTTTTGAATTGAGATGCAAAGTATTTTGCGTATTCATCACTTCGTACATGGAAGCCATTAATGGGGTTTGGTCAAGAAAGCCCTTGAGAAAAAATGTCTTCACGCCAGCCTGTTACATTCTCAGTTCTCAGCTTTTTAACCAATAAAATGTTAGGAACTAACATCTTTATCATTAACTCTCTCTTTCTTTCTCATTAATGTAACTGAAGCATGCAGATATCAAAATCAGCAAAAGAATAAGACAGACAGTAGAAAATCAAAAAAATGGGAGTATCCCACACAAACGAGGGCAATAAATTGCACCAATGAGAATGAAGTGAACTCAACCAGCGAGAGCAGTTGAACATTTATAGTTTGCTTTTAATTTGATCTTTCATCTAACCATACCCACCTAGATAATGAGTTGGGAACAAAGATGATATCGGCACGAAGTTATATGTACACTGAATCACCAACATTCACACGCACGCACACACACACAAGTTTCCATCAAAATAAAGGGATTAAAGAAAAGAAAAGAAAAAATTGAAACAACTAAAAGAAAGTAGCTAGGGAGCTAGTTTAGAGTTTTCAAAGGACTAACAAGTTGAAGGAGGCATGAGATTCAAGCCTAAGTCATCCTTTTCCAACACCAAACGAGCCTTGTTCGTTTCAGAATTCATGAGATTAGATCCATACTCAGGGTGCACCCTTTTCTTGGATTGAAGAGATACCCCAAAAAGCTTAGTCTTGCAGCTGTTACTGCTAGGTTGTTCAACAAATGTTATGGAGCTTCTTGAAGTGTTAGTGGGAGAGTTCATAGCATGAGCTTGCTTAGGGTTATTCGAATAATACCCCAAAAGCTGGTTCATTGGCCTTTGCACCGTTGAAACATTACAAGGAGAGGAAGCGGAGGCTTGTGGTGTATTATTATTGCAGAGAAGAAAAGAAGGGTAACTATTGCTTGGAGCCACAGGCTTAACATGGTTCTGAACGAAGTAGATTATATCGTTATAAAGCTTCTTCATGTGTGCGAGCTCAGACATGAGCATGTTGTTGCTTCGTCTTAGTCTTTCATTGTCCTCAGAGAGTGCAGTGACGGTGTTGTAGTTGCTTCCGATCATGGCTGAAGTGCCTCCTCCTCCTCCTCCTCTTGGCGGCGAGTCACACCAATTGGTTAACTCGTCAGAGTCATTAGGAGGAGAGATGCTAACTCTGTTGTGGAAAGGAAAGAAAGTAGGAACGTTGAGTCCCAGTGGAGATGAATGGTGATGATTCATTGTTACATGCTGAGGCTGACAAGTCTTTCTTCTATGGATCTCACACAGCAAGTGTTTCTCTCCTTTCTTGAAGAATTCATTCGCAAACTCCCATCTATCAGGCACAATCTTTCTGAAACCCTAGTGATCGATACAACAAGTAAAAGAAAAAAAAAAAGCAAAACCAAGTTAGAAGAATGGGAAAAGATATAACATCATTTGAATAAGGTGAAACAAGAGATATATATATACATAAGTGTTGAGCTGGCGAACGAAGCTTGAGAAGTTGTTGTGTTTGAAATAGTTTGGGAGAAGATCCCTAGCGAACTCGGGAGGACGCCAAACGACAAAGGTGGTGTCGTCTTCGCCCCAAGAGACTATGTGATCGGTGCTGGGATCGTCTACGAGTTGGTATGTCTTTGTAAGGAAGGGTGCCGGCACTGATTTGTGAGAGTCTAGAGAGAGCAAAATGCCTTCACAATTGTCTAGAAGAAGAGCCATTTCTAAAGGGTGAGTGTGTGTGAGAGAGAGAGAGAGAGAGGCAACGAGATAGAATAAAAATCTGAGAGAAAGAGACAGTGTGTCTGTGCAATTAAAGGTGAAGTGTGAGAATGGGGGATGGTGCTGGATAAAAATGTTTGGAGGAATGGAAAGCATAGTACCAGTACTGTTACTGTTTAATGTGGTTGTTTGTTTCTGTCTTTCTTACCCTTTTTTTTTTTGTTATTTATTCATTTATTTTATTTTAAATTATGGATGTTGTTTTTGGGTAGTGGAAGGAAATTGTCTTTGATGGAGTATTATAAATTTGTTTCCCCTCCTCGGTTATGTAGTGAGAGAATATGTGTCTGTCTGTCTAGGGACTGTGAAATAAGGGCCTTTCAAGACAAACCCGTGACTCTCTCTCTCTCTCTCTCTCTCTCTCTATACGTGTGGGCGTTTGTATTTGTGACAGAGAGGGTTCTGATTTCTGACATTGATCCCGCGCACACCCAATTAAAACAATGCTCCTATCTTTCGTAAATTGACAATTGCACCCTTCCTCAAGTAAATTGTTTAGGGCGTTTACGGGAGAAATTTTTTTTTTATTCGCGAATAACAATTTTTATGAATATGATGAAAAGATGAGTTTTTTGAAAATATTACCAAAGAATTATTTGGTAGACTAAAATATTTTTGAAAATATTAGGTTAATTTTCTTGATACTATGTTTAGTTGTATTAAATTTTCTATTGCCATAAAAATCCTTTAATACCACCCCTGAATGATATTCTTGGATGATATTTTCAAAAAAAATTCACACAAAATAAAATCCTAGAAAAATCAGATTTCTGAAAAAAAATTAAAAATCTTATATCAAACGTGAATAAATACGATTACCACTTTCAATTTCCCAAAAATCCTAAAAAAAACCTTCTACCAAACACCCCTTATTATTTCCTAACTTTTATTCCATTAACAAGTAATGTGTCAAAGCCTACCTGCACTACAGTGCAGTCTTTTTCTGTACTCATTTTTCCCATGCATTTTAGTTTCGTCAAAATTCAATGAAAATGTTTGTATTGCTAAATAATATCGAGCACTAAATACATCATTTATCAAATATTACAAAATGTAATTTATTTACATTTTTTTTACTTTTATAATTATTTTCACCCATATTTTTTTTTTTCGCAACAAATGTACTCCTCGTCAATAGGGGCAATTCAGTGAAAGATTGGGGTTTATTGGGTATTGAGATTACAATTTTCTTCTCATAATAAAATTAACGGAATCTGAAAAAAAGGACGTAAGTCAGAAATGGGAAGATGGTTGGTTTCATTTCACGTCAAACGAGTGTCCTCTTTGCGATTTGTAGCTTTCCTTTTGTTGTTTAATGTCACCAACCAAGCAGTGTCTAATTTCGAATCCCTATCATTTATTCTATTCCACCTCTACTCTAGCAGATATAAGGTAAAAGATACATCGAACTGCGTGATGGGAATTAAAGACTGTTTTGGTTGGGTGACGACATTTCTATACTTCTATAGCTTCTCTTCTATTTGCCTCTATATCTTTCCATTTTTCTCTTTCGCTAGCTCCACCTTTTCTTCCCTTCGTATTCTTCTTCTTCTTGATAAACTCATAAGCACGTAATATAAACTTCAACATCAAGTGTGCAGTGCTAAGTGCCTTTTACTTGTAAGCACTATAGCTTACAATAGCTAGACCTAGCTGCTCCTGTTTTGCTTTCCTTTACTTTTACATTGAGATTCCAGCTTTGGCTCTTCCACAGCTAGTTCTCCTTCTGCTGACGTGTCGAGGTGATTGAATTATTGGCCCCAAAAGTTCCCATGAATATCTGGGAAAATTTTTACAGCTTTTCCACCTCCCCTTTGTATATGGCCTTCAAAAATTAATGTTATTGCTGGGCTAGGCCCTCCATTTATATCAAAAAAAAAATAAAAAAAATTAATGTTATTAAATCCGATCTGTTATTAACTCGATCAAGATTATTAGTTTAATCATATAATTTAATAAATATATATAAATTTATAATTTATATTAAAAAAATTATAAATATATCCAAATATATGTACAAAAAATAATATCAATTCTAAATATTTTAATATAAAAAATAATAAATCACACACTATTATCTAACAAAGGATTAAACAAACATATAATATTTGTGATATTGGTACTTCAGCTTTAGTAGATAACATCTTTAACTATAGATTAAATCAAAATTCTTTGCATAGTACATTATCAAAATAATATTAGTGTTGTAGGTACATAACCTATGTAAATCAATAAACAACAAATCACTCAAATATTTTAAAAGAAAACAAACTATTTGTAAATTTTAAAAAATGATATTCTTTATGATTTTTTGTTATGAACTAGGTCGAGTCACCAGTTGAACCAACCGAGTCATTGATTTTTACCAAAACGGTCGGATTGCACCGATTCTAATGCTTGATCAATCCGCTGCTTTCATCTGAACTAATTATATAATCGGTTTACAGGTCCCACAATCACTCCGCAGAACGGTATGGATTTATCAGCACTACCCAAAACAACATGTTTTTCCTTTACTTTTTTTTTCCTATTTATAACTTTGTTTTCATTTTCTTTTTAAGGATTTGAACATCTCCAATAATCATATATAGGTGTGTTATTTCGTTTATAGGTGGGATTGTGGTTGCATACTCATGCACAGGTGTCGTAATTTGAAAGAAAAGATTAAGGTTTAAAAAAAAACACAGAAAAAGTTGCTTGAAAACCATAGTGAGCAACAAGTGGACAGTGAGGATCCTAATAATAAAAAAGAGAAGCGTATTCATTGTGATATTAAGTGAAAGTGAAAGAGTAGGGACGCAGAAAGAGATAGAGGGCCAAAGCAAAACAATAGAAAAATGATGAGTAATAATTTCAGATAGATACCATACCACAACTGATTATTTTGATAATTTTATGACCCTCATTATAGGAAAAACAAAGTTAAACTGTCAGGGTTCCCCACCGATAAAAGAGTATTTATCAAACTTTGCAATTTTAATTTGTTCGCTTTCCTCATATTCAACCTTAATATATTTAAGGGTTTCCATTCTATCATTTAACATGACCACAAAAAATTTTCTACACACACAATATTTTGTGGGGCCCGCGTGTTTTAAAAAAAAAACTCTGGCACGCAAAACGAATCTCTATAACATTACACAATCACTTTTCCTACAACATAACTCTTATAAAACCCTATATTTAATCATTATAAAGAACTAAAAAATATCAATACTTTCTCGACACCCAAGTTAAGCTTACAGGAGAAGCCAGAACTTTTTTCCTTTTTTATGGGTTTACCATGAAAAAGAAAAATGGGAACGATTATTCAAAGGAAGCTAGGATTGCAGAACATCCAAAGGGGTTAAGGGAATTCGGCTGTTCATGGGTTTTCAACATTGAAATCCAATAACGTACTAAAACAGTATCTTCCAATTTTATTTTATTTTTTACATGATTGAGAGGGTATTATCTATTACTATATAACTACACTCGTAAAATCAAATTACCACGTACTATAATATTTTTATGAGAAACTTCAATTCCAAACATATTATTACAAACTCATTTTCATGTTTGAAATATAATTTAGAACATTAGGCTGCAAGTCATGCGGTTTTAAACTGCAATAATCAGACCATAATTTTTCGTAACTACATGCAATTTCTATAATCGTAGCATAACCCAAAGTGAAATATTCATAATATGTATGTAGTACATTAAATGCATTATGTTAGAGAAATATAATGTAAAAACTGATTGAGTCTTCACTTACCAATTTGAACTGTTAGATGAAATAATTTTTTGTATCATATTAGAGTTAAGGTGACATGGGCTACGAGTTTGACCATTACCGGCCTCACTTTTTAGTGAAATCAAACTAGCACATAGAATAAAAAAATAGGTATATGAAATATACTCTTTCAAGTCCAAAAGACTTTTGTATGAGTTAGTCTATTAAAAAAATATAATATAAAAATCATAGATTGATCTTTTACTTATTAGCTTAAATTTTTGAGTCGAATAGTTTATTTACACGCTGATTGTATGCCATTTATTTAATTAATGTATCTTAGTACTTTATTTTGTAGATAAAAATTTATAACTCGTGCTAGTATACATTTTAATTTAAATTAGATTTATTGTACAAGTTGCATGAAAATAAAAGCGAGTTGAAATACCCGAACAGAAAAATTTAGGAACAGCAATAGCCAGTAACGTTACCGGTAGTTTCAAGTCCCAATATTCAATTGAGAAGGAAGAATGGTTGGTTTCTAGTTCTTCCCCTAGTCTCTAGTCTTAGTAGTCTCTAGGAAGGGACCAAATTGATAACTATCTGGTATGTTCTAAACAATCATGCACTTGTTACTCTTTCTTTTATGCTGCTTCTTCTGCGGCCTTCTGATTCTTAACCTTTTCTTAATAATTCCCATTTCCCAGTTCACACACACCCTCTGAGTCTGACCCTTTTGCTGCACTCTGCTAGCTAGCTGCATCGTTTCAGCGGCTGACATGGAGACAGTAGTCCTTTCTTATTTTGATGGGTATGTGGGTAACGCCACTCTCGTGATTCTTATTTTGTTTTTATCCATTGAGAGCATATACATAGTTGATAGTACAATCGCCTTGTTCGCTTGTTCATGTTACATGCATTTATAGGGAAACTGTGGAGATTACGAATAATTTTTTTTAGACTAATTAATTACCTGGTTTTCTAATGATATATTTGATCTCAATTTAATTTTTTAGAGAGTTGAGAATTTTTTTAAATAATTTAATTTTAAAGTGAATAAATAAAAATTTATTTTTTTAACTTATTTAAAATAAATTATTATTTCAACTTACTGAATAAATTAAAAATATATAAATACACTTACATTCTTATTCACTTTATATGTAAATTTATTAAAAAATATATTTTTTAAGATTACATGAAATCAAATTTTCAAAATTAAAAT